TAGACAGGAGAGTGGGGCCTGATGGGGTGTGGCCCCATACCTGTGCCGCTGCCCTGGCCACAAGGACCCACTGCCTTGTCACCAAGGGCACCCTTATCTTGAACACCCAGCTCTGGAGTCCAGCTCCCTGGGTTTCAGGGCCAGTCTCACCATCTCCTTGCTGTGTGACTGGACAAGTTACTTCCCCTCTCTGAGCCTTGGTTCCCTTCTGAGGCTCTCCTGCGGAACGAAGCTAATCAGGTTGAGAATGAAATGACAGTATAACATGGCCTTAACGTGACCTCTGGTGGGGCCAGGCTGCTAGACAGCATGGCTCACCCATGGGGCATCCCTGCCCACCCTGGACTCAGAGCCACCCTGGGAAACGGAAGCCACAGAGTCTCCTGAGAACACTTGAGACCAGCCACTTGCAGGAAGCTTCACCCTCAGACAGGAGCTTAAGTGCATGGCTGCAGAACAGGGCAGCTTCTGGGGGCTTCGTGGTAAAGGTGGACCGTGCAGTGGTTACGAGAGCAGCGCCTCACTCAGGCAGCCTGGGTTCAAATCCCAGCACCACCACTTGCCAGCTGTGAACCTGGACCAGGACTTGTCTCTCTGTGCCTTGGTTTACCTTTGGAAAATGAAGATGACAGCAGTCCTTACTTTATAGGTTGGTTGTGAAGATTAAATGTATTAATATAGGGAAAATAGGGATAAAGTCTTAGCTTTAAAGTAAAGGCTAGAGCATCTTCCGAATCCTTTTCTTTGGACCCCGTGCTCCCCAAGATTCTTCCAGAGTCCCCAAGATTCCTCCAGCTCTTATATGTGGAGGGGGGAGAGGTTTTTTACTATGTTGGCATTTCCCAAAGTGGGACCCATAGCCCACTAAGCTCACTAGATGGTCCAGGACAATTGGAAAGGACACCATCGTCAGAGGTCTGCCTGCTGTGTAGACAGGGCTACTGCCTCTAGAATTTCACAAATGCACATGAAAGGCTCTGAGAAACCCTGCAGAGAAGAAACCGCATTGGATGGTTAAGTTGGTGTTTCCCAGATTTATTTCACCATGAACACCCTTTTCTTTCTTGTTTGTTTAATTTTTTTAAATTTATTTATTTATTTATTTATTTATTTTAGGCCGTGTTGGGTCTTCATTGCTGTGCGCGGGCTTCTCATTGCGGTGGCTTCTCTTTTTGCAGAGCACAGGCTCTAGGCTCGCAGGCTCTAGGGCACAGGCTCAGTAGTTGTAGTGCATGGGCTTAGCTGCTCTGCGGCATGTGGGATCTTCCCGGACCAGGGCTCAAACCCATGTCCCTGCATTGGCAGGTGGATTTTTAACCACTGTGCCACCAGGGAAGTCCCGAACACCCTTTTCTGCTCAATATCAATTTAACATCCTCCTGGAAGAACATTGATGGTCCAGGCCATTTCTAGCTTGTAACTTCTGCCTCACAGAAGAAACAGAAGGTTTTCTAAAGATTATCATCCCCGCATTGGAGAAGCCCCTTTCAGTTTTTCTAGCACTTTGACACTTGCCCACAGGAAAGGGCTGCACCCCTGTGGCACGCCCTCAGCCCTGCTCCCAGGGGCAGAGAGGACCGGGTAGAGAAAGCCCCCTCACGGACGCCCCCAGGACTGGCTCAGCTCCCTTCCACGCCCTGCAGTCACCTCCAGCTCCAGACCAGACTGAAGGCCCAGAACATTTTCAGGAAAGGAGGCGGTGTCTTCTGGGAGACTTCTAGAAAAGTAGTTGCCAAAAAGAAGCTGTTGTGGGTTGAGCCAGCCCAGCCTCAGGCAGGGGAGATGTGCTGCCGGATCAGCAGTCTCCTGGTCCTTGCAGAGGAGGCCCTGTGGCCACCGGGCCCCATCAGTAGGGACAGCACCACTTTCAAATGCAGTAGTCTCCCCCATGTCCCTGTTAATGTTTCAGCAATTCTAACATTTGGAGACCAAAGTGCATCTCCCAGCCGGCTGCGTGAACACAGGACAAGTGCCAAAATTCGTCTCCAGGCCTGTAGAGTTTGGAAAATGAGCTTAATCAGCTAGTCAGTGGAGGAGAGTAACATTTATTGAGCACCTACTACGTATCGTGCTTTGTGTAAGAAGCTCTACCATTATGATGAGATCTCGATTCTGATAACAACCCCATTTTATACATGGGGAAACCAAGGCTCATGGTGGTAAGTTAACATGACCAGGGACGAAGCAGAGCTGGGATTCAAACCCAAGCCGGGTTTCACATCCCCAGTCCCGGCGCCCCCGCTCCCCAATCCCCACCCCGCCGTGGTGTTCTGGGCAGCCTGGCTGAGATCACTGACAAATGCTTTGACACCGCGCTTCATACCTCAATCCCCAGGCCCCTCTCATTATTAACCCAGGCTCCCCAGGCCTGGGGTAAGAGGAAGGGAATCGGAGGGGAGACTAATGTAGTCTGGCCCTTAATGGTGTGGTCCACGTTGTTCATGAAGAAACTGGCTTTGGGTTTTTTGGTCCATGTCCTGGAGAATTGGGCTGTCTTGACCCCAAACCTCTGATCATCTCTGGGGCACAGCAGGGGAGAGGTAGAAAAATCAGTTTTCTGAGTCTGCTAAGCTGAAGGCCAGCCCACCAGCCTGGGGCAACCCTGCTGACGTGAGGACCACACCCCTGGGAACCCAGCCTGAGCCGGCACCTGGGCTGGGCCCCTTTTCTCTTGGTCATTCCTGTGGCTCCTGGCTGCAGCCTCCTTCCCTGCATCCTGCCCCGCCCACCTTGCAGGGTCCTGGCACACAGCCTGGGTTGGGGTGTTGGGCCCACTGCACAAACCTCTGGAAACCCCTTTTCCCTCCTCTGACTCCCCAGAATTCCTCAGTCAGCAGTGCGGCTGTGGGGTGGGTAGAGGGTGGATGCAGAGGAGAGGGCACCACCCATCCCGCTCCCGGGGGGCGGGGGGGGGCTCTCATCTGCTTTGTCTGCACAGTTGCAGGGAAAGGACACCCCACCTTAAGCTCCCGGCCCCCTGAAACACCTACCTGGCCACATCCTTCCTCTTGCCCTTCACAGGAAGCGCCCATCGCATGGTGGGGAGAGCAACCTCCCAAGTGCCACTGTGCCCCAGAGGCCTCTCCCTCCACCTCCCTCATCCCTGAGCCATCTGATTGGCAGGCTTCCTTTTCTCCATCCTGAGTGGGGAGCCAGATCACAGAGAAGACAGTGACTTGTCCAAGGCAAGGCAGCCAAGCAGTGGTGGGCATCACTCCTGGATGCGGCTGACTCTGGAGTTGGGGTCCTTTCTCCCAGTACAGTGCAGTGCTCAGGGGTGCAGGTTCAGGATCAAGACTGCCAGACTCGGGCTTCCCTGGTGGCGCAGTGGTTGAGAGTCCACCTGCCGATGCAGGGGACATGGGTTCGTGCCCCGGTCCGGGAAGATCCCACATGCCGCAGAGCGGCTGGGCCCGTGAGCCATGGCCGCTGAGCCTGCGCGTCCGGAGCCTGTGCTCCACAACGGGAGAGGCCACAGCAGTGAGAGGCCGTGAACCGCAAAAAAAAAGAAAAAAAAAAAAGACCGCCAGGCTTGAGTCCTGGTTCCTCCACCTCCTTGCTGGGTCACCTGGGGTTGGTTACTCAACCTCTCTGTGCCTCAGTTTCTTCATCTATACAATGTTGTTAGAGAGTCCCTGAGTTCAAACCCTGTGTTAGCTGTGTGGCACTGGGCAAGTGATTTAACCTGTCTGTGCCTCAGTTTACTCCAATTTTAAGTGGAGATATTGATATATATACAGCAAGGGTTGGTATGAGGATTAAAAGTGACAACTGTACGTCTAGGGCTTTCTGGCAGGTGGTGCCAGGCAGGCCCACAGGGGCTGCTGGTTGTTTGTGGTCAAGGTGCTGCTGTGGAAAGATGCACAAGAAACAGGTCTCAGAGGGCATCTCTGAGGGAAGGAAACTGGGGGGGGGGGGG